AGTAGCCACAGTCCTCTCCCAGTTGGACACCAACATGATGATGAGGCACATGGTTAGGGAACAGGAGAAATAACAGAACAGAACAACAAATCCAGCTGGAACAACCTCCATTTTTCTAACCACAATTGATAATGAAACCAGTCTTTTTTGTAGGCTGTAGTGCATATGTTTTGTTTTCAAAAGTCCTTTTTCCCACATTTGTGGGAATAGAATAGAGTGAGATTTGAATTTAAATCTATAATGTATGAGCTGTGGAAAGGTTTGGACCAAATCTGGAAAAAAAGGTCTCTCCTCGACTATCATATACTATAGGTCAGATCTAACATTACAGAAGCAGCACTACATCATAACAAGTCTGCAATCCATGGGCAAGACCATATTTCAAGGTTGCATATCTGAATAAGACTGAATCCAGAGTTATGTCTCTGGCTGGCGAATTTCCAAAACCTCTGATCTGGCAGCTGTCAAAACTCTCCAGAGTGAACCAGATACACCTGCATTTTTCTCTGTTTCAGACCTTTTGTCCACTGCTATAATTTTCCATATATGTAAAGATTCGTACATTTATTACCTAGTACATTTTTCACCAAGGTTCACTACGGTGTAATGTTTAAATATATAATGATGCGGGGTAGTCAACAATTCACTCATTGAAATTCAGAGTCTGTGATGGAGGTTGTGCTTATTCTCCCATAACATGATTAATCTATAATGTTACCTCAGGCTGTGTATTTGGAAGAGAGTCTTGCTTATTCACCTCTAGTACTGCAGACACTTATTGGTATTCCCTGCACATTTCTGCTTGACATGAATGGATTTTCAACTTGTCTGAGATTTAACCCTTCTCCAAATTGCTGCAGGGGTTTTATATAACTATATCCAGTACCACAACGGTGACACGGTGACAGACTCTTCAGTCAACTCATAATATAAAGTGTCATCTCCTGCTAGAGTTTGTTTAGCAAACCAACTACTTTATAAATATGCTAACGCACTTCTATTGTTGTGGAGCACCGGTGCTGCTCTAAGTGCATTTCTCATCGGTAATGCTAAGCAACATTAACATACTGTATGTATGCCGGACAACTGCTGCAGTAACTGCCCTAATTAGGTTGACTTACAGTACATTTGACTGCACGCTGCTGGCTCTGTCAACTTCTTTCCGTACACAATGGATATGTTTAGCTAAAGGCTAATGAAGTAATTAAACTCAGACTTATTCTACAGCACATCACTTGTTATTAAATCACAGTGCTATGTACAAGGATACAGGAAAAACTGTAGTTACTGTTAGTAAATTACCTGTAAGAATTACTGTGTTTAGTCAAAAGTAGGTGCAGTGAATATACAATAGCACTAATAGTCTGACCAATCAATGAAGACATAGACCAACTACACAGGAGCAAGGTATGTGTATTACACTGTAAATAGCGATCATTTCACAAGCAGCAGTGTGCACCTCCCCAAACTATGGATAAGAAAATAATTTGATATTAAACTGAGAGATAGGACTCATCAGAAGGAGCTGAGGACCCAGAACACAAAGACACTATTCTATAGAAACAATTAATCATGCTGAGACTTGTGCCGTAGGCTTATGGTTAGAGAAACAAGTTATTTGAGCTGAAGGAAAAATTAGTTTATCAAAGAATAGGCCATTAGTAAGAGGTCACTGTGCTGTGTAGCTGTGGTACTTATCTATTCATGTCTAACTGCAGTATTTTTTGGCTCTGCATGTGACAGCTCCTCTTCATCTAAATTCACTTTCTGGCCTTGTTCCAAAAAATAAAAAAAGAGGAGAAAAACTCTGTCTTTCCTTTGCACTTTGTTGCTTATAGCCATAAACATTATGACTCAGGTTTGTGTGACATGAAATTCCACCTTCATCGCTGAGAGCAGGCGTGACCTACCACCAATGTCTCGGTGATTGTTTGCAGCTTTTTGAGTCTAACTTATGTTGACACCCATGGAGGTTGATGAGGTGCACCTCACTACTGGAGCTGAAGGGACAAAACACTGACAGACGCCCATGATTGTTCAAATTTGGAAATAATCATTAGGGGGATGTTTTTTTGGACCAAAAACAGAGCAGTTATGAATCAACTGCAGAAACCAGAAAGAGCCCAAAAAGGAGTGATTATCCATTGGATGGCCTAGTCTCCATGGGAAGGTATTCCCGCTATCATATGAAATCTACTTACTAATGCATGGAACTCGCTTACTCACAGCACAAAACACACAGGACTATTCATTCAAATATCTCATAAATACCTTTCTATATGCAGAGAATAAATATGAGAGAACTTACATCATTTTCAATAGGCTCCTGTGATATATGCTAATGGCTAACATAGGCTAAGATAGTAAGAATTACCACTTATACTTACATACTCCCACTTTATGGAGCTTCAGCTTGTTCCATCACAGCTCACCTGTGAACCAGAAGAAAGACTTTGGCACAAGATGTATTTCATATACTGAACCATACAGTTCTTCTTCGATATTCAACATAAAGATACATTATAAATATACATTATTTGAACTATTCAATATCTTGGGTGCATAAAACGTATCGATATTAGTCAAGATGAACAGAATTTTATTATTCTTATGCAGATTTTGTACAAGTGACACAACATGTATTACTCCTCCCAACATAAGAAGAAGAGAAAGGTTAGGGAAATGTCAGGTTTGCATCACGTGCAATCTTATTAAACATGAGAAAGCACAAAGAATGGAGCTGTTTTAAGACCTGTGAAATGCCAGTTAAGCCACCAGTTAAAATGAATAATTTATTGATGGAATAACAGCTACATATTGCTTCATAGATCAATGAACTTAAGATATTTATTCTTCTGCAGGGATGTGATGAATTCTTTATGGTATTTTGGATACCTGTCAACTTAAAAACCAAATCTCAAGGTTTAGCTTTCTGTTCTGATCCCCTTGAAGTGAATCTAGATTGATTTGCTGTGTTATAGGAGCTGTAATTGAGATCAAAGGGAAATAATTCATTTGATGGTATGTTCCTTTCCTCAGTTGCCAAAGCTATTGCTACATATAAACTGTGATATATAACACTGATACGTGGGCTGTAGTACATCTACTGTTGTGTTCCACTTTTTAGATATCAAAGTTCTGGACACACTTTCTTCCCCTTTAGCCCATTTTTATGTAAATGACACAGGCATTGATGTAGCAGTCTGGGCTCACCATCACAAAAAGAAACACATGAATCGTTATAGAAAAATTTAAAAAAAGATGGAGACGTTTTGCGCAACCACCTCTGCAGTATCCACAGGTGACCAGTAGGGGTAGTGTGTGATTTTACAACAACTTTGGAGGCGTGGATGTTTATTCCTCCTGCAATGAAAACCAGATGATTACAGACCATGACCATGAAAGTGATGTGGATTAATTTGGTCTGCAGAGTGGTAAAGCATTGTTTTCCTCATTATGGATTGCTGTTAAGATTAATAGAAGATTCCTGGAGCAAAACAAACAAATAACCAAACAGAAAGATAGTTAGTGAACAGTGGAGAGATGGCTGCCTCTGTCTGCTCTACAGGTGCCTTTTTTTCTCATGCATCTTGCTGAGGGAGCTGTTCACTGCCGGTGGTGCTGAAAGTTTGTTCTCTGCGCCTCTGACAGACTTAACCAAACAATTAAGAGATATTTCCGTTTTTATTGGAGTCACGAGAAATATCCTTTAATTGTAAGATTATGCCCATCTAGCAACTCCGTTCCTTGCACGACTTCTTCCTCTTCTTTCCAGCTCTGCACACGCCTAGCACTGTTCAAGCACTGTGAGGCGTGTAACTGGTACCCAATAAGAATTACTGGCACCCTGTAGTCTGATTCGCAGAAACAGACTGTCGTGAAAATGAGCCCACAATGCCTTAATCCCGCGATATAAATAAATGAAAATAAATAAAAAACAAAAACGTGGGCGTTAATTTTGCTGAAGCAGCATTTAACTAATCGAACAAGTCATGCAGCTAAGACAAAACACTGAGCTATTTTGTGTTTGCTTCTCTGCAGAATGCTCCCCCGTTAACTCCGTCCAGCTGTTCTCCGGTTGACTCAGGCGTTGTGGCTTCTGTCACGTCTGTCCACCTCATCCATCAGCCCTGGCTGAGGAGCATGGTGTGTGTAAATCCTTTTCTCTGCCACATCAGCTGCGGTCCGTCGCTGCTGAAGTGCGCTGAAAAAGAATTGTGTCTCGGTCTCTCTGCTCTCTCACATCTTCCTTGAAAACGCCAACTTCTCCAAAAGTAAACACCGCCGTCGAGTTTTCACCTCTCGTTTGTTGGGTTTTTGCTTGTGCCACGCACTCGTCTTTCTTTTCAGTGAGACATTCAGGCTGAGAGAGTTTTTTTTTTTTTTTTTTTTTTTTTTTTTTTTTGCTTTGCCTTTTGTAACCTCCAATCATGTGTTTAGTTATCGGCTCTCCAAGCGTCTTTCTTCGGCTGGTCCAAATCATTTCTACCCGGGTTGTCGGGACAGCAGCCGAGTCGTGAAGTCTCTGCAGTCACGTGATCGGGACAGTACTGAAGAGTGCGTTTTTTTCGGAGTGTGTAGCCTATGTGAGCGTCTCTCCGTGTGTAGTTAGAGGGGTGTCCCTCCTCCGCATTTTTTTGCTGCTTGCCATGCTTTAGACGCCGGAGTGCAGGGAGAGAGGCGAGAGTGAGAGAGGTAACGCCGGTCTCTCTCACCGGGCTACCTGTCTTTTCAGTCTTACCCCGGGTCCCCTTCGGTTCCTCCGCGTCTGTTTGAGCCAACCTTCCTGTGGTCGGCTTGTTTTTGTTGGGGAAAAAAACTGTGATAATTTCTGTAGGGTTTCATGCGGGTCTGGTCTGCCAGGAGGAGGACCGCGGCTCTGTTTTGCACTGGGTTTTGATCATCTTCTTTTTTTTTTTTTTCTTTGGTGCTCCATTTGGACAGTAGGGTATAGGACAGCCGAGCAGAGCTTGGATGAGCCGCCTCACTGAAATCCCGAGATGGAGTTGCTGCTGATCTGCCTTTCCCTGTGGATATTGCAATGCAATTCGGCCAAAGCGGACTCCATCATACATATCGGTAAGCGTCCAATAAAACAACATGCTGTTTGGGTTAGACAGGTGTTAAGGGAAGGCGTGCGGGAATAAAGCTCAGCCAGCGCATACTGCGTTGATCACAGGATTTTGGTGAGAGGGCGGGATAAATAGTCTATTCAGCTTGCATCCTGTGTTTAAGCAACACCTTGACTCTCAAGCGAGTTGAAAAGTTGCTGTTTTGTTAATGGCAATGCCTCTGACCTTTACTGCCGGAGATGTTTTGTTAGTATTTATCACCAGTTATTTATTAGCCAGTTTTTGCAGGCATTCACTTTTCGACGGCAGATCACTGCATTCATGTTGGCTTCAGATCTAAACCTCACCACTGTCGGCCTGTAAATTGCTATTCTGTATTCAAACCACGGATTACAGTAATCATGGAGGCCTGTTTCAGTGAAGGTTTGACGAAATTAAGATCCAGCAGAAAATGGATGAGGCTTTTTTAGACCAAGGTACCTCTTGTCTGAAGCCGACAAGCCTCAACTTTCGCCGAAACGTGACTGCAATGTCAATAACAAGACAGAGGGAATGTCAGTGGAGTTTCGTTTTAGAGATGCAAAACGCATAGAGCCTCTTTGTACTCAAAGTTCAAACCAGAGCTGCCTTTTTTCAGAGATCGTGGAGGCTTTAAACTCATCATGGCATTCAGGTGGTTCTGTTTTGGTGTTTGTCCTTAAACAATGCATTACATTACATTTTATAGTTTTGAAATACATACATGATCTCCCCTCTCTAAACACACATACACTGAATGAGTGCCTTGGTTTGTGGTGCCTTTTAATGCACACAGTCACGCATCCACTTATAATGACTGGCTTTGTAATCTAATATACAATATAATATTTTAATGATAAAAATGTCAATGTCACTGTGAGCAAATCTCGTCTCGGTGCTCCTCTGCTGCTGCTGCTGCTGCTGCTGCTGCTGCTGCTCACACTTTACTGCAACAGTCTGGCAAGCAGCAGGTGCTCAGTCACTGGCTTAATACAGCGGTGGGACTTCATCCAGATGATATTGGCTGATGCTCCGCATAACGTTTGGGTACCTCAATTATACTTCTGGTTTCCTGAAACCCTTCTCCATGATATATGTGCGTCTCCCGACAGCAGCTGATGCCATTTCGATAAACAGGGGGAGAAAGCGAGAGGGGGGTGAGACAGTTAAGCTTCAGTGTGCCTCCCACACAAGGCCTATAATGCATACTGGTTAGGGTGCCACTGATCTAGTAGAAAGCCAATTATTGTCTAAGTTTAGATACTTTATGCATCAAATCCAACAGTGTTCATGTGATGAGGCCTCCGCTCTCCGTGGAGCTGAAATCTTCTCAGGGCGTACTGGAGACGCACATGTTGCAAAACGTCATGGTTAAATAAACCACAAAAATATAAGACTACATGTCACTCTGTTTTTGAGTTACGCAACTCCGGGGCAGGTTTTTGGACAGTCACATTAAAAAGCTTCTATATGTAACTGTCTGTAACGGCGATGGTCCAACAATGAAGGTGCAACTCATTCACTTCTCTTCCACCTCCAACTCTACTGTGCAGTCACACTTGAATCCCTCGAGTTTTTCTTACTCTGCAAGTAACTTGTGATTATTTTATTGGTCAGGTGCCATATTCGAGGAAAACGCTGTGAGAGATGACGAGATTTTCCAACTTGCCATCTCAGACCTGAGTCTGAACGACGACATTCTGCAGAGCGAGAAAATCACCCACTCTGTGAAACTCATCGAGCCTAACAACCCTTTCCAGGCTGTGCAGGAAGGTAAGCGCGATTCCCTCCGGATCATTTTCTACAATACCCTGCTCTTTAATTTGATTATTTGGGACTGCCAGGCATGGCAGGTGGGCGGTCTCTTTGGCTCTGCCGCCTCTGGTTACGATGAGGCAACAAGTCTGATGCGTAAAAGTCTCGACTGCCCTGATCTTATGGGCCCTGAGCTGGTGTTGCTCGTTCACACGTTGATCAGTCAGTGCGATGTCTAGTGGAGCAGGCAGTGATGATGATCCACGTGTCTGTGTGAGTGAGGAAAATGGCTGTGTGTGTGTGTGTGTGTGTGTCGCCACCTGCAAAGCGCTGCGCCGCTGTATACCATATCAAGGTGTCTTCTGTGGTTGAAAAGCTAGGTGGAAGCATTGCGTTAGAGCACAGCAGCTGAGGATAATATGTGAAATAAAAACAATTTGAAGATGATCAAATGTAATTCCAGCATCAATACTGGAAAGAATATTTCTGGCGTTTATGTCTTTTTGAAGGATGAGTGCTGCAATCTTATTCATGCACATTTATCAGCCTTCAGCATTTTTGTCTGTGTTTTTGTCTGATTCCCCATAATTGTTCAGAATGTACACACCTCTGCAAAACAGACAGGAAATTAGCAATGAAGTGATTTTAGTCAAGGTTATCGTTCTTAGTCATTGAAAAGTGGACCCATACAATGTTGACTGCAAACGTTATTAAATATTCTTCTGTTAAAATTAATCATTAAGACTTTAATAGGTTCCCAGGGACCTTCAAACGCTGTTTATGTCCCCTGCACTTAGTTACCAGCCTGTACTTTTGTCCCCAGTTGCACAAAAGGCCTGGATGACTCATTGCTATTCATAGTGCCCCTGACAGGCACAGAAAGATGATAATAAGTCCTGCCGTTTGCTATAATTATCCAGTGTCATTTAGCTGTGGTTCTTGACAATGTAAGAGATATCTGGGATTCTAATTCACATTACCTTTGTAAACCTAAGTCCTGATGAGGCTCACGTGACGCAGACAGGTTCTTTAAGGTACACAGCAAAGATATCCCGGCTTGCTGCTGCAGAGGTAAGATAAAAAATTTATTACACACGTGTGACTTGGATAATTTATCATTCACTGATGCTTAAGATGCAAAACTGTTGTAATTAAACAGAGTTGCCAGGAAATCATTTCCCGTTTGTGCAGTACTCTAATTAGTTCAGTAGTATAGTCAAAGATAGAGTATTTAAAACTTACCCACTTTAGACCTACACCACTTAGTGGAGAATATACGCACTAAACTCATATTAATTATCTTATGTGTTATTTTGACAACCCTCTAAACAATATACTTTTAATGGCATGTCTGTACAAACCTTAAGGACACACAGAAGTTGTTGATGATGCTGTAAAAGAAACAAACAGTGAAGGTGTCACAACTGTGCGTGTTATTCTTTATTGAAAAAGATCTTATTTCCTCTAATTGCACTGCCTTTCGTTGGCCTTGATTGGGTATCATTTCACATGCTTAATTATTGTTTATGTTTAGGCTCCTTATAATCAAATATTCTTGAAGGGGTGGTTCGGGGGCATTCAGCCTCTGGAGAGAGTGAGGCATAATGTGCAGTCGATGACATTAGGATCGATGGGTGGCCCCGGATTCTTGCACTAGACACAAGGCAGGGTGGCGAGTGCTGAGTGACAACTTGGATAAGTTGACCTTTTGCTTTGCTCTTTTGTTCACTGCCATCCCACTGTGAGTGGCAGTCAGGACCTTGCCATTGAATGGCAAAGAGAGGGGGGGGCAGAGGGTGGGCACAAACATGGAGGGGACAGGGGTGAGTGAGGGGAATGAGGATGAGTTGATAGAAAAGGAGGATAGTGGCTGTGGAGAAGATTAAGGGTGAGAAGAGCAATGAGGATAAGAATAACCATGAGTACCAGCAAAGGTGGGGAAAATTGAAAAAAGAAGAGAAGAGAATCCTGATGAAGACCTGAATAAACATGAGTGGAGAAGTGCAGCAGGAGAGTTAAGATAGAAGTGAGGTGATGGGGAAAATTTGCCAGCCCATTGAGAGGAGTAGTTGCAGCGTCATGTTTGTCCTTATTTGGCTTGCTTTGTCCTTGCACTGCTGGAACAAATATTAACAAGGATGTCACACCAACACCATGCACACATCAACACTCAACTATTCAGTCCTCCCACGCTCTTATCGTTTAAAGATGACAGCTCAAGGCTGGTTGGATATACCGCCTGATCACACAACTGGCAGATGCTGTCCTATTTATAGGCTGGAGCAACTGGAGCGATTGAATAGGGCGATTTCAACACCAGGAGCAAAAACTCAGTGGAATATCTATCTTTCGTGTACTGATGACTGTCCTGAGAATTATGGTTTTTAGATTCTATCAGCTTGTGATACAATCACAGGAACAAAGTGAAACAAAACTTGTCAGTGCAAAACACCGCCTCATCCCTGCTTTACATTTCCTGTTTAGCTTAATATAGATCAAGATGAAGCACTTGCACCAATGATAAAAGAGGAAAATCAGATATTTTTTTAATTATACATAATTCTCTGGAAAGGAAAGTTGAGATGACTCCCATAATGTGGTGACACACAATTTAACTGCATGTTCTGCCATTTTAATCAATTTTAACATTAATTTTTTTATTTTCTAGTAACAGTCAGTCATCACTCAGCAGGGACAATCTGGTTTCACCAGGATGTAAACATTCACAAAGTCGGTAAAAACCTTAAAAAGTTAAAGTTCAGAGCATTAAAACCAGTAATCAGTTTTAATGTTGTGGCTGATCGGTGTATAGTAAGGCACCACTACACACTTTATATCTTGGACAATGCGGTGCTGAATATCTTGGGAATACGATATATCTGATGAATGACATAGATGAAAGGAATGTTTTCTGACACATCTTTAGATTTGCAAGGCTGATTTCCCTCCCCCTTTCACTTAAAAGTAGAAATTTGTCCTCTAGGGCCTGATAAGTAAACATAAGAAACAAAGTTTCTATAACCTTTCCTGTCTTGTATTTTATTCAAAGGAACTGGCAGAAAGGTGAAAGCAAAGCTGTCACCTTGTTGTGTGATTATGTAAATCCAAACCAATGCATATTTCAAGAAAAGTTCAGTAATCCACGGTGAGGTGGATTTCTTTTCTGGAGTTTCTCAGAGGACATGAGCACAGCCTCTTCAGATAGATTACCAAATGTAAAGATCCCCCCGTATTGCACCAGCATTGATTTATTCCATGTTGCCGGTGAGAGGAAAGGATTGTCATGGGACGGGGCTGAACAATTTAGTGTTTGTGCATTTATCCTGCCATTAAAACATTTGAGGGATAGTACAAATAAAGTAAACACCTCATAAAAAGAGATTCTAATGCACCACAAGACAACTAACAGCGGGCCAAAAAGGTCAAATTGCCATTGCTGCAGGTTCATGGTCAATAACAGCAAGTATAACAAGAGTACATCGAGGCAGTACTCAGCAGTGTTTCAAGCTAATTGTCAACATACTAATATGTTAATAATGACAATACTAACATGTTTATGTTTAGCAGGTAAGCAGGTACAATGTTTACCTTGTTCATCATCTTAGTTTAGCATGTTAGCATGCTAACATTTGCTGATTAGCACTAAATACAAAGTGTTGAGAATGGAAATGTCATTAGATTTGCGCCAAAGTACTCGACAAATTTAAATGTTGATCTGATGATTGCACTAGATGAGATTATCAGAATGTATCTGCTTGAATGTTTTTCATTTCATAGCCTTCCACCCAATAGTTGTCAAGTTATTTCACACAAAACAAAAGATGTGAACCTGCTGGAAATAATAGATGAAAACGTCATATCAATACACCAAATTGTTTTGGAGATCTTTCAGCCTGGACCAAAGTAGTGGACTGAATGGCTGAACGAAAACAGTCATCACAACCTGTGATAAACTCAGTGGAGAAATATTAGTGCCACGCAGAAACTAATCAATATGTATATGTTGGACATAAAGTAGGCTACATTTTTATAAGGTGTCCATATTTTGACAAACCTCCACAGGTTCCCATTGCATTTTAAAGAATACATTTAGAACAAGGCGGGTAGAGAGCATAGCCATCTGGCCACAGTCAGAGGGAGTAGTTTTCTGTACCTCTAATGTGCAGTAATTTGTTGAGTGTTCTGTCCCTCTGAGTCCTCCTCACACACAACACCACTAGTGACCCTCCATTTTCATCTAACCCCTGCCAAGGTAACGTCAAGGAGGATTTCATTCTTTGTCCTTTTTGTCCCTTTAAGCCAATAGACTTTGAGCAACTTGCAGTGCAGTTCTTTTTTGTCTTTTTCCTTTGCTCAATCTGTAATGACAATAGTCAAAATAATGGTTCCTTTGAAGGTGTTGGCATGGGTAGTGTAATATCCTCTATCTGATTCTATGCTTATAACAAGTCATTACTCGGCATGCTCTAAACGTGATGGAATGCTGCCCTTTCACTATTATTGTCCCTGTGAATTTAATAATGCTGCATAAATCTTGGTAATGGATTTGTTTGTGTTTTTATGTCTTTTTACCAGCTCTACACAGAAGGGGGGATGATCAGGCCATTTTACCGGCCCCTGTTAATTACCCAACGGTTATTTTAATCCGTCATAAGCTCCTCAGTGGGCTGTATAAAGGCCTGCTGGTACCTTAATCAGCTAAGTGATGTTGTGGCAGAGGTATACCTTTTACCATTTAATCCGTTCACAATGCGAGGCCCACTACTCAGCATCCATGTAGGGTTAATCTTTAGTTGGTTGCTTGAGCGTGCACACTAGCGCACAAAATCTACACAAGTGATTCAGGTCATGGTAAAGAAAATGTGTAAGAAGAGAAATTGATTAGAAAGGCAGAGTATTGCTAATTTCTACTTTGAAAGATGTAGAATAGCTTAGTTAGTTTGAAAAAATAAAAATGATGGTTAAAACACATACAATGCTGTGCAGAGGATTTAGGCACTTAAAGAGAAATGAGGATG